AGGAAGTATACACATGCTTGTCTGACAAAAGCGGGCTAGGGCCTGTAAATGGTCCCGTGGTAGTCACGGCAGAACCAGGACTGGAACCCAACGGGAAGCTTGCGCTGTGACTGGTCCTCTCTAGTGCCTGTAGGAGAAAACGTGAGTACTCATGCATGATTACGGCTTTGGGACTCGACGGGGCACCCTCGGTTCCCAGCGGGTCTGCAGCATCTGTGGCGGCTGGCTGGAGCTCGACGTGATGGGGATCGGTGATGTCGAAGTTCACGTCAGGCTTGTGAGCGTAGTGGTCCAACAAGCTCTGGAGAACCTCATCTGGGATACCAGACTTGTCCTGCTTTATATCTCCCAGAGGGGACGAGTCCAGGAGGCCCAGTGCGGCGTCGCCATCTAGGACCCCAGAAACGACACCCTGGATGACCGTCGGCTGCGACTGCAGGTGACTGACGCCTACATCGTAGTCTGAAGCTCCAGAAGCAGCGCCCCCATTGTTCGGCACATGGAGGTATCGCCTCTTCTTCAGAAACTGCATGGCATCATCATAGTTACTGCTGTTGGGACAAACTTTGGCCCCTGGACCTGGAAGAAGCCCGAGGCTGTCCAAGCCTCCTCCTGCAGGCAACTCCATGCCTCCTGGCTTGGATTGATCCATGGGGTGAGTATTCTTCTCTAGGGACTTCCTGTTCCCCTTCTTAAAGGCCATCTTGGGAGCCCGGCCGTGTTCACCGTGCATGCTGGGGCCCGGCTGGACTGAAGATGAAGTTGTTGATACCCCAAAGTCATGCACCCCGTAACCATCCGCCCCCTGACTATGCATCGCACCCATAGACCCGGATGACTTTTTACGTTTTTGGTCACCCCCCTCACCAGCATTTTTTGTCTTGCCCCGTTTGCGGCTGGGCATAGCTGCATTTCCCTGAGAGATTCCGTAGCTGCCGTGTTCTCCGTCGCCTGCTGAGCCCAACTCGTGCTCTGCTCCATCCACACCCATTTTAATGGCATCTCCACACGTCCGCTTGTGCTTCAGCAACCGGTCCGTTCTGGAAAAATACTAAAGGAGGAACAAGTGTGAGAACACAGTGCTGCTAAACAGAAAGGGTTGAAACTCGTGCATGAAACGCACCTGTTGGCAGGTGTCACACTTATATGGCTTTTCTCC